GAGGACGTTTACGAATGAAACCACTAGGAACTGGCTTCGTTTGTGCTTAAAGCGCGCAATCCACGATGAGGCACGATAAGGAGTACTCATCCAGAGAAGAGAAAACGTCGACCGATGCTGAGCCGCCACGGATCGCGTTCGTGTATTTTTCCCAATCGATGTTTCTCGTGAGAACGTATGCGATGTTGATTGGATGTTGCGAAGATGAGCCATTAGAGATCGAGACTTTGATGGGCAAATGATCAGTACCATAGGGGTCTTGGATTACCTCCCATATGCAATCCAATGATAGTGAGTTCGAACAAAGTGACAAATCCAATCTGCTCTCTTTTGCTGGAGGTTTAGCTAGTCATGTTAAAATTATCGCATAGGTCATAGATGATGGTTGAGCGATTGTCATCGCACAGCTCTCCCCCGCCTGTACCGTGGGAATTAAAATCCCCTGAGATCAACCGCGGCTCAGGTAACACTGAGGATATATCCGATAAAGCTCGATGAGAAACAGCCGTTCTCGGAGGGATGTATAGCGAGGCAATATTGAGGATTTTACCTCGAACATTCACCTGGCATGCGACAATTTCAACACCCGACACTGCAGGAAGGACAATTCTGTAAAACGAGTGACGTTTATCAATCCCCAAGAGCATACCCCCATAGGAGTCTACACGATCGAGAAGGACAATTTTAAAGCTGTGAAGAAAAAGATTCATGTCTAGAGAAAGCCATGTTTCGCAGAGAGCAAAAACATCACAATTCAGGTTGCTTAGTAAGAATTTAAACACGTCTAGTTTCGGAAAAATGCTTCTACAATTCCATTGTAGGAGAGATACCGTATGGTTTTTTGGAAAACTATCCATCGAAGGATACGATCGAAGCAAGGAGGGGCCACTTGTAAGCTAGTTGCTTCAGAAGAGGGTTCACGATTGGAAACATCATATTAATGATGTTCCTTAGAGGATTAGAGATGTTAAGCAAATCGAGAATGCTGTCCACTATTCCAGAAAACGTGAACATGGCGTTACGCTTGCTAAAAATTGTTTAGGCTCGGAGTCATCAAAACATTCCCCAATTTTATTCTTTAAATATATTTCCAATTCCGTTAGAATAGCTTCGAAAAAAGATATCGCTGCCTTTGTATAGCACATACCATACATTCGACACGCCATAGCCACAAACACTTCAATTTGACTCAGTTAGCACGTAATTCTATCAACTCCCGCTGCAACGGAAGTTCTAGTTGTTACACCCACTGAGTAATGGAGACCTACCGGAAAGACAATCGTTTGACAAATTGAAAACTCTGTCCGCTATAATTAAATCCGTCACAAAACACAGCGGATTGCCTGGGATTTTTGGGTCGAAAAAAAGTATTCGAATTTCGGAGAGGGGAACTCTCCCATATCATACAGTGTCAGAAATACAAATATAATTAAATTTAAATGGAAAACAATGCGCCGCCAGCCTCTTGGTTTCACTTTTTTGCTCTTCCTGCGATGCACTCCCGAGCCGTGATTGAGAGCATGCCCTTGAAGAGATGATGCATAGGCTTATGCATCTGTATTTTGAATATACCCTCATACCTAGCCGAACCTAGATTATATGCATTCGATGACTAGGATTTGGCCGGCGTTCCCCTATGCCCAGCTCCGCTTCATCAGCGAAGCGCCTACCGTTCCGACTCAACATCAACCTAAATCTATTCACGCATTCGATAGAGAAATTTACGATCGACAACGATAGACCCCTCGCCCTAAGGCCACACGCGAACGAGACACTCTGTCTGGCTTACTACCTACCTACTCGTGTCGTGGTGTGAGGTTTTATGGGTTATTTGTCAATCGATTCCGTCGTGTGGCGGGTCATCCATCGATAGGCACTTTCCTCTAAGAGAACCTAACGGTTCGCTGAACTCAATCAAAATATGCTTCGCTTTGTTTGGTGGAATTTGAAGCACACGCGCAGGGATATGAGCTGAAATTAACTAGATCCCAGCCAAACTCATATTTTCTCCATAATCCTTTCGCTTTCTGCTTGCCTCAGTTTTCGTTTAATGTTGTTTATCCAATTTAAACCCATCAAGAAAGTGCAGGAAAAGAAGGCAAACAACCTCGAACCTTCAACAAACATACCATCAACTAATAATAATAATAATAATAATAATAATAACGATAATCTGGAATAGAAGAGAAACCCAGCATGCTTGCCTCTATGCTTCTGTGGCTGGTGCCTCTGCTCTGCCATGTGTCGCTGTAAATTAAATCTCAAAAATCACGACAGCGACATCTACGAGGTAATTCATCATTGCATGAACGATGAGCCGTGGTTTATGTTGTACCATTTTTTTTTTGGTGTCACTGCTCCAGCTCGCTTAGGGAATTCTGTGTGCTTATGTATTTACCGCAAATGGAAATTAAACAAAGTTTAATGACGCTTTGTTGTTTGAATCAGTAAAAACCTGCATAACGCTTTGAGCACCAAAGCTAAATCACACTTTTCGCTATGTTTAATTCCTATCTTTTGTAATTTTTAACGATTTTTTTATGTCTTTAACTGGTTTATTTTTTTACTGGTTTGATTGAACTTGTCTCATTGAACAGCTTAGGATAATCCAGATTATGGTTCTATATGGTCATATTCGATATCTATTTTAATCATAACAAGCGGCACATCAAATCACACCTACTCACCGAAATATGATCAATGGTACTCAAAACATCATTCATAGAGCCATATGGCCAGCATAGAACCAGTTTCCACCACAAGGATATTTCGGACAATGGATCAATAAGGACCCCTTGCAAGAATAATCAATAGCGTTCTATCAAATATTATAAATATGGTCAATATGGTTCACTTTCCAAATTCCCATAGGAGCATTTCCAGCCCAAAATGCTAAAAAATATGTCAATTCTGTCTCGAACCCTTCCGATTTCAATGAAACATTGCTCACACCAAACCCGAGCGTCTGTTCACCATGGAGGTGCGGCTCAAAACGGCGTCTGTTCTCCATGTTAGGAGCGGCTGATCACCGTCCTAGTGCCAGCGTGGGACTCTAAACAGAGCTGTGCACGATGGTCCCCCGGCGAGACAGGGGGTTGTGGCAGGCCCAACAAGCCGCCTTAAAAAAACAAAGTTGCAAAAACTGAAGAAAGAAATACTGATCGGAACAATCGGCACAGACCTACACGATTGGAAACTCGGAACATGGAACTGCAAATCGCTCGGCTTCCCGGGCTGCGATAGGTTAATCTATGACGAACTTCAACCACGCAACTTCGAAGTCGTAGCACTGCAGGAACTTTGCTGGACGGGACAAAAGGTATGGAAAAGCGGGCATCGAGCGGTTACTTTCTGGCACCACCAACGAGCTGAAAACCAGCTTTGTAGTGCTGGGTAAGATGCGCCAACGCGTGATTGGTTGGCAGCCGATCAACGCGAGGATGTGCAAGTTGAGGATTAAGGGCCGTTTCTTCAACTACATCATCATCAACGTGCACTGCCCACACGAAGGGAGACCCGAAAACGAGAAAGAAGCGTTCTATGCGCAGCTGGAGCAGGTGTACGACGGCTGTTCGCAACGGGACGTCAAAATCGTCATCGGCGAAATGAACGCTCAGGTAGGACGGGAGGCAATGTATAGACCGGCAATCGGGCCAAACAGCCTGCATGCCGCATCGAACGACAACGGCCAACGATGCGTGAACTTTGCAGCCTCTCGGGGTATGGTAGTTCGAAGTACCTTTTTCTCCTGCAAGGATATCCACAAAGCCACCTGGAGATCACCTGACCAACACACAGAAAACCAAATCGATCACGTTCTAATCGACGGGAAATTCTTCTCCGACATTATCAACGTCCGCAGGTCCGCAGTGCGAACATAGATTCTGACCACTACCTAGTTGCAGTATGCATGCCTACCAGGTACTTACCTTACCAATCAGGCTAAGGCCTTGTTGTCCTCCGCTGTCCGAAGAAGTCGTCTCCACTCTACTCGATCCATGGCCACAGTTCGCCAGCCTCGTAGTCTGCGAAGGGTCCGCAGGTCACCTACAACTTGGTCGATCCACCTTGCCCGCTGCGCGCCTCTTCTTATTGTTCCTGTTGGGTCGCTTTCTAGAACCATTTTCACTGGGTCGTCGTACGGCATTCTTACGACGTGCCCAGCCCACCGTAGTCGCCCAATTTTTGCAATATGGACGATGGATGGTTCTCCCAGCAGCTGGTGCAATTCGTGGTTCATTCGCCTCCTCCACGTTCCGTCATCCATATGTACTCCACCGTAGATGGTACGCAACACCTCCGTTCGAAAACACCAAGGGCGCGTTGGTCCTCCACGAGCATAGTCCAGGTCTCGTGACCCTAGAGGACCACCGGTCTAATCAGCGTCTTGTAGACAGTCAACTTCGTGCGGCGGAGCGTCCTCCGGAGTCCAAAGTAGGCACGAATCCCTGCCATAATGCGTCTTTGAATTTCTCTGCTGGTATCATTTTCGGTGGTCACCAGTGAGCCCAAAAACACGAACTCATCGACCACCTCGATTTCGTCACCGTCAATCTGAACTCGGGGTGGGAGGCTAACATTGTCTTCCCTAGATCTCCCATCCTTTCATGTATTTTGTCTTTGATGCGTTGATGGCAAGTCTAATCCGCCTAGCTTCACCCTTCAGTCTGATGTACGTTCTGACCATTCTCCCAAAATTTGAATTTGTGTCTGGAACTTTGAAGTTTACATAGGAATTACTATGCGAAAAGTTAACTTTATTTTCTCAAAATCCTTACACTTCGCCGTAATATTAAGTGAGGAAGCGAGTAGTAATGAAAATGCCGCTTTTTAGAACAGAACGGCTTGCCAGACGAAATATTTTTTTTCGGGAACTTCGATAGTTTGATGGTTTTGAAAATTTCAGCCACCTTCCCTTTTCGGTATAAAACTCCTGTCCCGGAAGCTGCCTGAAATCCGCCTTCACATAAGTTTCGTCGTCCATGCCGACACAGTCGAACTTTGTGAGCAGATTCGTAAACAGATTTCGGGACCGCTGCTTTGCCGACGTGTTTTGTTTGTGATCTCGTTTCGCCACCTTCACCTTCTTAAACGTCGACAACCCGGCTCGTTTCTTGGCCCGCTGCACAGTAGTATGGGAGACATTGAGCTTGCCAGCGACGTCCCGAATGGAGAGGTTAGGATTCCGCTTATATTTCACCGCCAACTTCTTCGTCGTCACTGCCACGTCCGGATTACGATTGCCGCCGCTTCCAGGCTTCCTGGTGGTCGACAGACGCTCTCCAAACACTATTAAAACGTTTGTCACGGTCGATTTGGCCACATCCAGCAATTTTGCCAATTTGGCGTGTGAGAACGTCGGATTCACTTGCTGCGCGAACAAATTTTTGACACGCTGCTTGGACGTCATTTTGAAAACTGGAGAGCAAACGGTGAAAACTCATCATAGCAACCATTGTATATACACTCAACTTCCAAATGCAGCATTTCAGATTTTTTATACCAGAAATGCACCAATTTGAAGTTGACCAATTTTTGCGCGTTCCAGCACACTTAAGCAAACTACTATACCATCTGATAAAAAAAAAACATAGGTCCTTTTCAAATATTGCTCTAGAATTTTGATATGTGTGCCTACACTGAACCAAAACACCCGCCGCCCGTTGAATGAAATCTCATTCAGCGTAAAGCAAAACTAATGATTCCTGAGATTGAATGACAATCAAGTTGAATGATTTTATGATGAGCAATATGTTATTTTTGTTTACATTTCAAAATAATGTTTTTTCTATGTCATCCGATAATCAGTCACATATTAACAGGCACATTGCATATGCTTTTCATCATGAACCAAAACGAATATATTTATTCATAGCCCCTTTATGAAAATCATTCTATTTCAGGTTTATCATCATCTTTCGGTTATTCTTCATATCAGTTAGCAAATGGTGGCGAACAAACAGTATTGTGACTGCGCGAGTGTGTTTATTCTGTGAAAAACCTGGCATGATGACTTAGTCGTTAAAATTTAAAAACAATTGCAACAGATTCACTAAGAACCGTTTAAATGCATTTAAAAATATGTCTGATGAGATTATTCACTGGAATTCGAGCTGGAATTAACGTTTAAATTTCAGTTGCCGAAAATAGTCCAAGGGAGCCAATAATTACTCTATACTCGAATAGCAGGTTTTACCGGTAACTTTCTATCTGCCATTAAGGGATCATCCATTAATTATGTCACACTTTTAGGGGGGGAGGGGGGTTTTGGAAATTGTGACGAGCCTTACAAAAAACAATTAAGGTCCATATAAAAAATGTGACAAAGGGGGGAGGGGGGGTTGAAAATGGGCCAAATTTGCGTGACATAATTAATGGACCTTCCCTAATTATTAACGAGATAAAGCTAATTTGACAATTAAGACCTAGCCTGAATTTGATAATTATATATTGTATAGTTATTATTTGTTATATCAAAATAAAACATTATTAAGGTTGATTGAAAAAAAAAACTTATAGTTCGAATCATTTTTTTTTTTAACGCAGTTTACGTGTTCCAGATCACGGACGACATCAATGATGAACAAGGTTCGCATCCTAAACCCGTCAACTTCAGGCGGACATGCTCTGCCGCGCCAGGATGTAAATCTCATGACTTTCTCAGAAGTGGTTCCGCCTGAACCCGGTATCTTGGACCCCAGAACATCATCTGAAGATCCAGAAGAAGGAGATAGTTGTGCTGAAGAAGATGGTTCTTGTGATGGTAATGTGTATTGTGTAATGCTGAACCAAGCGGCAGAATTGGATCCAATGAGACGCAGGATGTATTAAGTTCTCCACACGTTGTACATCACAACCAAGATTATGCTGAGGTAATTGCTTGATGAAATTCTTTAACGGGGATGATCATCGATATCGAAGTCAAAAGTCATTTATGACCATTTGGTTCTTTAATTTTAAAATATGTATCGGTTTTTATACATCATCTTAAGAGCTGCGTTTTCTGAGCACAGTGATATTTTTACTTATTTAAAATAGTTCCAGTGTATCAAAATTCATTAAATGTTGGATTTGGTTCCATTTTTAATGGAAATTAGGAGTATGCATTTACCTTTTACATATTTCCAGGTAAGGTGTTAAATAAAGTACATGTCAATAGTAATAATTATCTTATTTTTTATTTAAATATTATAGAAACATTTAATTATACATCCATTTCATTAGAGATGACTCATGTTATCTCAACAGTAGAAAAGAAGCATTTTTTTTCGTTTCTATTGATTAGTGACCAATTGTTTTCGTACTTATTATCAAATTAACAAAATTTTACTTAGTAATGCTTATAACTGATTGAAATGGTTGTGTAATTATTTATTTCAATAATATTTCTGAAAAGCAAATACCTCTATTAAGCCAACTAAATAGATATGGGCATCATTTAAATACGATCTGATTTTCTTCCATTACAAGACTGATGAGTTGAAAAGTTTATGTATGCAAATCATTCACATCTAGTTCTATTTTGATTTGATTGATGTATGATTATAGCGCTGATTTTAAATTATATTCATACATTTGACTTGATTCTGTCAAAATATGAATTGAATGACGATCTTCTTAAAATCATCAGATTATGAGCATGGGGCTTGGGTGAGGTAAAAATCATTCAGTATGCGGCGGGTGTTTTGGTTCAGTGTATGTGTCTATCTAAAATCACCCCCGAGTATCTAGACAGAAATCATTAGTTTCACGTACCCACTTACAAATTGTAGACTGTACGTAAACAATGGGGTCAGCCATCGTTGGTGGCACAACTTTTCTCACATCAGAAACCATGTTTTTGTTTCACTTCATGTGGACGTCTAAAGCAAGTCAAATTCAATAGAAATTCGCGCGTTTTCAAATCCACCACATGAACCAGCTGTCACTGTTATAGACTGTCATAGTTGGTTCTAGTGCTGAACGAAGCAGCCATTTTCACCGTTTTGTACCTGAATAAGAGTTGTAAAAATGTGGGAAAAATCGAGAGGAAACCCCATAACGAACTTTTTCATAGGTCCTAATATGTCCACCATTGATCTTAAAGTAAAATTCTAATGTAATTTAAGGTCAATCTTTTGCGAATTCCTCAGTGGAATCTGGAATTCACATTTTTGTTCATATCTTCGGAACCATAAAAATCGGAACCGGGGAAAAAATCAATAGCGATATATGGGGATTTGAAACACAATTTTGAGTGAGACGTATTACTGATTATGCCGAGACTAGAATTTCGGCTAGAATGGGTTACATTCATCGATTTACTTGAGACCGATAGGTTAGTCCAGTGTGAGCCAATTTAAAATCGTAATGAAGTAATGAAATTGGGTTGTTAGCTGAATGCTTAAATAAAACAGCTGTTTTATTAAAATCGTAATTCCAGTTCGGGATGTTTTGGCTGGACGCGATCTGGAGTTTATGAAACTCATATATGTTTTCTTGAAGAATATTAACCTTAGATTGCAAGTTTGATCAACCCCGTGTTTAGTTTGTATTTTGTGTGTGTATGGGTTTTTATTTTTAAAGTTTGATTTGTAATAATAGTAGAATTACGCTGCTGATATCAAGTTGAATAGAAATAAGTTCATGTTTTAGGAATAATGAAATAATTGTATCGTAAATCATATTTCAAACCTCCTTCTCCCTCTCCCCATCCATGAAACTGTAAATCTACACTAACCTCGAGACGACCGCGAGTACTCGGTTCAATGCCTTTAACATTAGATCTTAACTTTAGATTTAAGACATTAATAATGTCTAACGCAAAAGATAATTTGGCTCTGTAAAGTTTTTTCGGTTGAGCCTGTACAAATAAATAAAATAAAAAAAAATTCTAAGTTTCCACCGGTTGGGTTGGGACAACGCTACTACAATCATGTCTGTCGATGTTGTTGGCAAGCGCTTGCAAATTGCATACGTGTTTCGATCCGTCGGCAGGTCATCGCGCAATAAATTAACAAAGATTAACAACGTGCAACAAGCTCTTGACATTCCTTCCATAAGCGGCTGGCAGGAAAATCTCGGCAAATCCTAGTAGTCTGCTCTGCGCAGCTTTTTCCGTTGCAGCGCAGCGGCGCGGCGGATATAATCGCTTAGCTTTCTTTGATCAATAAATTATTAACCCTCACCCCCTGACACATCTACACGTCTTTTAGTACTATATAATATGTCAGAACCAACCAGCTGTTGAAGACTTCAAAAAGCCGCCCATGATGAATCCCTCACCGTTGCCGCGCGAGTGCCACAATTCCGCAACCGTCTGATACATGCTCAAATGGATATAAACTGACCACAGTTGATCGCCGGGCCAAGTCGAATCATCAGCCGCGGCAATCTTTCCATTCATCTTTTTCAGCAAACTTCATCGCTTTTTAACTGAATAAATGCACATGGGCTGTATCACCGACCGCCTTATACGATCTAGAGAAGACGAGCGCGTGTATATGAGAAGATCTCCCACCGCACACGGGAGCAGATCGCGAGAACACACATTGAGCCATGTTTTTCTGATTATGATTATTACCTTTTGCTGCGATCGCGGCAGATCCAAAATAAATTTCATAAATGACTGCCTGTTTATGGTTGGGAATATTCTTTGATATCGCATTGCTTGCTTATATGTAGGCATAGGTACGTATGTGAGTATACGCCTTTTCGCTTGGGTTGAACGTTATCGCTGGGTTGGTCGGGGGCAGTGAGTTAGATAGCTTCGTTCATTCTCTCGTTTGTAGCTTCTCCGTTCACTTGTGCTTCACCGACTACTAATATTGCGGCTATGTGTGTGAGTGCGAGTTAAAAATGAATGGCGTGGCTTGTTAGGTGGTCAGCACTTTGACCGTTTTCGCAGACAGACATCAGGTTAACTGTGTAAAATATTACCAAGTGTCTATCCCCTTTCCTCATCGGCCGAAATAGCTCAGTTGGGAGAGCGTTAGACTGAAGATCTAAATGTCCCCGGTTCAATCCCGGGTTTCGGCACATGTCTTCTTTTTTGGATGTCAGGAATCTGCATAATTCCAGGGTAGATTGTTTTACTGGATTTTAAAACAAATGTTTGCACGATCACTTCGGCTTTAAAAACACTCAGAAGGATCAACCCAGACAATATTTTTAGATTTTTTTATTCTCAACAGCCCACTTAGTTTATCAACCGAATAATCCCCGCAGTTCAAGCATCTTCCAGTCAACAATGAGCAACATGTAGAGACTGACCATATTACCATATTAAATTTATTCAAGTGAGCTAGCCTTGAAACAATTTTCTTATTCCAAACAATACCACTTCCTCAAGTGGCATACGACCACCTCATTTCGCTGTCCATCCAAAGAGACATGCAGGGGATACATATAGATCGAATAAACATACATCCCTGGCTGAAGCACCTGTCGTTTGTGGCTTGAGTCATTCCTTCCGCTTTGACGCCTCTGCCGGAATTCGACTAAGTAAAAATAAGCAAAATATATGTCACGCATCCGTCCTTTTCTTACGCTGCGGTTATAAACATATCACTCGGCGTGCAGTTTATCCTCTAACTTTTCACAAAAAGTATACACATTCCTGCTGCACTGGAACGCTTCTGGTGATCGGGAGCATGATGCCATCCAGAAAGAGATGCGCAAAGATCCAATGTAATGTACCAACATATTTCCGTTGCAGCAGATGGAAATGCACACGTGCTCGCCCGCTATTAGCACTTACACAAATATGGACCAGCAGCATCAGTTAGTGTCGTCCTGATGGTATGTTAACCAGAGGAAAATCTCACATATGGAATACCGAACTTGCTGCATGTGCACACGATTTGAACTGCAAGTGAAACCATTTACAATAATGGTGGCATGATTTTCATATGCACTGCTGAACAAACACATTTGGATCACAATGGATCACATAATTGTGCAGTTAAAAATTACTTATCCTTCCACTAGAACTGCTCCGTAGAACAATATTTTGAAGAAAAAATGTTTGAACTTCGTGAAACTATTTATGCTAAGGTAGGCAAATCTGAAATTTATTGCTTCATTTTCTTTTTGCTCAGCAATAAATATGATTAATAGAAATATTTGAGTTATATAATTAATTCTTATAAAATGTATGTAACCGATTTTAACTTATTTTGGTTTCTATCGCGTATTATGATGTAAAAATAAATTGATCACATGATTCGATCAGTTAGCAATGATGTTTCCTACCATCCGAATGTTTTTGTGGAACAATATTTGGATATTTTTTCTTCTAGAACCTCCAGAAAGTAGTGTTTTATTCATGCTCAGCTTGAAATATCTGAAGATTATTGCTGTATTTTCATAAAATCTTTGGTAGCAGGTTGTCCCAAAACAGCTCGACAGTTTGATCACAAACGAAGTGACAGACGACTAACTGGCGAAGAAATCAATTAAAATAATGTGGTTCGCTGTAATACAATTTTCTTAGAAGCTTGTACCATCAGCCAATAGATGGGCTAGTATTTTTATTTTTATTTGAACATAGTTGATTTTGTGTGCAATATGATCTTTGACAGTGTGCAAAGAGTGTATCATTTTGTCATTTTTTTTATGCATTTCAGTTTAGAGTAGAGTGAAAGAGATAGAACCAAACCAGTGTTGCCATGTGTTACAATCCATAAGTAGTGTTGCCATGTGGCACAATCCAGTAGTAGCGGTGTTGCCATGTGGTACACTGAAAAATTGCATTAGCAGATGCGTTACCAAAGTTTTCGAGCCGCTCCGTCTGTCACTTCGTTTGTGGTTTGATTGATGCATCATATAATTCGAGCAGTTTAAAATGACGTTTTCTACCACTCGACCTTTGCCGTGAAACCATATTTTGATTTTTTTTTCTTCTAGAAAAAATTGGCCTTTTTTATGCTAGGTTTGAATAATGTCGAATTGTTTTCTTCCTATTCTTCAAATCGCTGGAAGAAGGTCGTCCGAAAATTGCTCGAAAATATGATTAATTAGTACCAAGAAAAAATCGTATTCTGAATGGAGCGAGACTTTGCACTGTGCTTTCGTAATTTAAAATGAAGAACAGTTAACTTCCAATTGCTACGAAAGGGTCAATCGTTGTCATTACGACCATTGCAAAGTGGTTTCACCAAATTTGACGCAACAATCATCAAATGAAAGATATGGCCAGAACATGTTCCGATGAAAACCGTGCATCAGGCTTTTATTTTTCAATAATGTCATATAACCGTAATTCCAGTTCTTTCTCAATGATCTTTAAAATTCATATTTAAGGTATAATTTGAGAAATAAGACCATTTCGTAAGATTTCGTAGAACAATAGAAAAGATTTTCAAAATGGAGGCTTTCAAAATCGGGTCATGAACTGAATATTCGGTCATGAACCGAATACGCAAAAAGAGTAATGAAAACGGAAAATGTCAATTGAAAAACTAGTTTTCTTTAAGATACACCGGAGCTTTTTGGCTTGCGTTAAATCAAATTGAAATCATGAATTTATAACTAGATACCGTGCCGATTCAAATTTCGGACACTTAAACTCGAATTTCGGACACTTTTAAAAGTTGATTATCTCGGTCGAATATGATCCACATGTCTTGTAAATTTTAAATTTTTTTGACTAGTGCCCTCCACGATTATCTAACATTATAACTTTGTTTCTAACTGGCTGTAATATTTAATTAAAAATGAAAGTGTCCGAAATTTGAATCGTCCGAAATTTGAATCGGAACGGTAAATCTAGGCACGAATTCTTTTACGTTGCACGATCCTCATTAAGAAATCTTTAAAGTTCTTAAACAGAGATCGAAATTTTCGCCTACTTGAGAAGAGAAACAGCATTTTTCATCTGCTAGGAGAAATAGATGAGAATGTGAGAAGCGAGAGAATATTATACGCTCAGAGCAGTTTTCGCGAGAAAAGCAACAGTGATTTCTTTTTTTCGGAGAGCATGAGCGGCAGATAAATCATTTCTTTTTCAGTGAATTCTTGGTGCTGATAATGATTTTTCACTTCTTTCATACACCTGAAAATGTAGCTTTATGCAGGCTGTGTTCCATGTGATGAATTTTCAATTAAATTTGAACGATGGAACTGCTGTTCATTAACTGCGTAGACAGTTTTTGGGATTCTTGACCCCCGCCCCTCCCCCTGCGTAGACATTTGCTACTTCAATCATATTCGCTGTTATTTTTTTTCTAACATAGTTTTCAATAAATTAGTAAACGTAAGTCCGTGGTGTCGGACTGAGGTTTACAGCCTCTATCAACGTTTTCAATTCCATGTACATCTTACAAAAAATCCCTTTTCTCTAAGGGGCTGTCCATATACCACGTGGACACTTTAAGGGGGAGGGGAGTTTGCAAATGATCACGATCCATACACATTTTCAAAATAGATTGTTCACTGATGGAAAGGGGGTCCAGCCCCCAAAGGCTAATACGTGGTGGAGGGGCATTTCCCTCCCAGTTGACAAGCATTTATGCCAGTAAAAATGGTTTGGCATCTAAAATACGCAGGCAAGCGTAAAATTGACAGGACATCATAGCATTGACCTGGGAGCTCATGGAGCGGGGCGCCAACATGAAAATCAAGCAATTCGATAGGCATTTTACTTGGGCCCATGTCAAATTAGCTACAAGTAGCCGTCCAGTATGGGAGACTTTCACTTTCACGCAACTGTCAAATAGCTCTATCGAACAACTCATTATCAAACATATTCAAGGACAATTATATTCGCTTCTATTCCCTATTACGAATGAATTAGATATGCATACATTTGTTCAAACCAATAACTCAATCGATTCTTTTTCGTTACGTTTAGACTAGAGTATTTGTGATGCGTTAAAATTAATGGGTTGGTAAGTCTTCTTGACACACAGTAGGCATCCTTTTCGGATGCAAAAGGGTCAACATACAAATTAAAATACACCTTATTGTCAGTTTATTTCGCATAACAGCCAACTTAAATCATGATATTTTACAGAAAAGCATATATAACGGTATGGTTTTATTATATTTCTCAGTTTTTTTTTTTCTAATTCTTAAAGCAATTCAATCTTTGTCTTGATCCAATGACTTTGCTAGTGCTTTTTGAACGAGTTCCTGGTTTGATCTAATTTTGAGAATATTCTCCAGGTTAGTTCCATTGATGCGATTTCTGACCTTAGTGAAAACTAGATTAAATTGACTGAAATCTCGCTCCACACTACATTGTGTAGCCGCTGCTCCCATTATTACAATCAACAGTTTCCAAATGTCCGGATCATCATAGCGTTGTTTGGCCCAGAAATCAATAATATTGAATCCGTTTGGATCAGCATCCTTGCGTGGTTGGTTTTGAATATTTCTTATTCTTTGTTCCAGCGACAAAACATTCGTAGCCAATTGAATTCCTCTACCAATCCTCTGAGAAAGGAAGTCATTCAGGCTGAACCGACTAGTGGACGTGATCGCTGCGTTTTCATTTGAAGAAGTTGACGGTTGTGGACCAGCCACTGGCTCCTCAATGGGCTGGATTTACAAAGTAGTGAGTTTTTGAAAAACGTTGAGGAGAAAGCTCTGAAAATTTAATATATATTAGTGAAATTAAAACCTTATCAACATATTGCTTACAATAATGTTTTCCTTCTGCTGTGACGAAAATAATCCTGAACCACGGAAAGAGTACCTGTGGTCGATATATAAGGCAGCTTGCATCGCATAATTGTTTAGAAGAGATGTTTCTCGCCGTTGCATTGCATCTAATATGCCCCTTTGAAACATGTTGGATTGAATGGATGCCACTCGTCCAAAGGCTGTCATCCAGTGTCCGAAAAAGTCGCTGAGAGTGCAGTTCAGGCTTTGAATTGCAATTGTACAGTCATAAAGAGGCTCAAAAGCTTCCACGTACCCTTCAATTAGACACCACAGATCTATCAAATCTATAAAGAATGCGAAAAAAAAACATACATATTAAATACTTTAACATTGTTTGATAACAAGCTGCAGTTGATTATCGCCCACACACACCACCCACTGGCACACTACACAAACACTATTAAGTTACTTACTCAGCTCTTCAAATTCTTCACCAAGTTTCATGAAAAAATCCTTTTGATTCACCAGTGTCCTCATCATCAAGTAATTGGAATTCCAACGAGTTGGTACGGGTGTCACTGGGTACTTTCCTCCAGAAATATCAAAAAAGTTCTTGTACTTAGCATTGCGATACAAGATAACAACTTTCGTGACCTTTTTGAGGTCTGCCTGATGGCTTTTACAAGCATCTGCTACTACTAGCTGTGCAGTATGTGCTCCGCATCGAACTGTTACCAACGTGTGCCCAATCACCGATTCCAGATCTGAAAGCATTCCTTCCAAGACTTCGTCCTGCTCTTCAAGGTCTTCTCCGGCCGCCGTGTCGCACTCGATACTGCCCTCATATTCCTCTGCTGGCACTGTTTCCTTTTCGATTAAGGAAGACATCTTTACCATATTCTTACCGTTATCTATGGTAATGCTATAGATTTGATGTGGATGGATTCCAAACCGATCGAGTATAGCGAATACGACTTCCTTCAAATGCACCGCTGTATGACGCTCACGGAGTTCTATTATGGCTGTAATTAAATATCTACATTAGAAACTAATCGAAACTTATAATGTATGAATCATGTTACCAAGTGTCCGTTTCTGGAGTATACCGGGGCTATCGATGAATTGGATGTTTAATCCGAGCACGCTACGATGCATTTTCGATGCGATGTCAGCCTTAAGCGAAAGCATTTTTCCTTCACTTCCGTTTTTATTTGCTCATCTATACCAGCGGCGGTGGCTGCCACGTACTGGCAAATATTATGACTGTTAATGGTCACATGCAGGGTATCACAATATGGCCTTATCAGGTCCTGCAGACCATCCCATTCAGCACACATGAATGGAAGCCCATGTACCGACACCAGTTTAACTACTCCAGCCAATAGCTTCGCCTTAGTCATACGGACGGGAATGAATGGATCCGGTTTTTCTTCCGGTTTGTTCACCTCCACCTCTCCCAGACCAAGGAGTAGGTACTCCATGGGATGATGGGATTGGATGTGCCTCTTAAAATTGCCAACATTGAGCTTCGCTTGTGTATACATACATTCTGGATCAACTGCACAACGGTGTTCTCCGGTCGGCAACGAAGCTTTCACCCGGCTTAGGATAACACCACTATCATCTGCCATGTTCCTCGTTATCCTCAAATATTTCCGGCACAGGTCACTTTCAAATGATGAATTCACTTTCCGCACGCAAACGATGATCCGAAATGAAGAACCAAAACAACAGTTAGGGCACATCCATAAATTACGTGGAATTTGAGGAGTAATGGAGAGGGGGTTTTACCATTTGTAACGGATCATGCATAAGGTATAGCAAAAAAAGCCACGAAGGGGAGGGGAAGGTCCAAAATTGGTAAAAAAATTTGCAACGTCGTATATGGATGACCCTTATGATTTGACAGAAGGTATAAAAATGAAATAAAAAAATTCTGCCGGACTGTTTGAACCCAATGAAATGCAAACAGGTGAGGCTATGTGAATTCATTGTCTCTTTCATTCTGCCGCTGTTTAAATGGATAACACAGTATGACGTCACACTCCGTCAACCATTTAATCAGCGGAAGAACGAAAGAGACGGTGAATTCCCATTGGGTTGGAACCGAACAATTTGGGGTGGTATTTTTTTTCGCTCTTGCTAGTTTTCAGTGCCAAATGTTTGATGAAAAAGTATTTTCGTTGGTTTTTGAAGAGAGATATTTTCGGATTATGTATGAGAGAGGATAATGAATTATCGGTGAAATGGTAGAGATGAAAATATGAACGGTTCACAACTCACCGAAAAGTAGCTTGAGTGAGGACATGCTTATCTTGCAGCTGAGTGAGAATTTCTATCTCTGTTCTTAAATAATGTTATGGTTGAAATACCTACAGTTGAAGCTCTTTTTAAGAACTATCTTGATAGCCACAAATCTCTCTATAACGATACTTCCACTGGTCCCTTAAATATCCAATGCACAATCCTATCTATACGGTGACAATTTCAAAATTACGCCTTTCCTCTATACACTACCGACTTCGGTCATTTTTACAAAATTCAAAAGCTGAACTGTTCGGTAAAAATCAGGCATTTTAATTCATTAGTTTAAAGGTTTCAAGACAAGGAAAACATCACCTCAATGGGAAGACTTGATTATTTAGACTGACAGTGTTTTAAAATTAAAATTTAGTAAACATTTTTTGAAATGAGGGTCAAAGTTTACCGAAGTTGGTAATAATTTCTAAGTGTGTAATGACGCATTTTCATTGGTTTTTACTCATAGGATCTATTCACAAAGGATGTAACGCCAAAAATGACAGTTTAATACTCCCCTTCCACCATGTAACCAAATAAAACTATAGGATTATGGCTAGGACTAGGAATAATTTCAAGTTGCTTAAAGACTGGAACGCGCAAAAATTGCTCGACAAAAAAAATCGTTTCTTTCAGTCAAAATTCATATCACAAAAATCTTCTTATTTTTCTTTTGATAGTTAAATTCATATATTTAAAGGAAAAAATGTTCGTTTATTCTTTTGGTTTGCCAAATCCGAACTGCCGTGCCTTCCGCTTAACCCCTTCCATTAAATTTTGCACAGTGGTCTTATCGAACCTATTCGCCGCCGAACGCCAGTTAGATTTAAACTGCTGCTCGTTTTCCATGGATTAATAGTTTTTTTGAGATTCCTTTTGACCAAGACCCAATACCGTTCGATAGGGCACAGTTCTGGTCCTTTCGGGAGGTTTGTGATCTTTGGATGCCACAACCACGTTGTTCGCATTGTACCTTTCGATTGCCTTTTTCCCATATTGGCAGCTCACCAAGTCCGGCCAGAACAGCAGAGGTCTATTATGTTGCTTTAGGAATGGTAGTAGCTGCTTTTCCAGACACTCCTGGACGTAGATCTCTTGATTGATGGTTCCCGTAGTAATGAAAATGCCGCTTTTTAGACCACACGTGCATATGGCCTGCCAGGCGAGATATTTTTTCGGGAACTTCGATAGTTTGATGGTTTTGAAAATTTCAGCCACCTTCCCTTTTCCTGATGCGGTATAAAGCTTCTGTCCCGGAAGCTGCTTGAAATCCGCCTTCACATATGTTTTGTCGTCCATGACGACACAGTCGAACTTTGTGAGCAGATTCGTATACAGCTTTCGGGACCGCTGCTATGCCGACGTGTTTTGTTTGTAATCTCGGTTCGCCACCTTCACCTTCTTAAACGTCGACAACCCGGCTCGTTTCTTGGCCCGCTGCACAGTAGTATGGGAGACATTGAGCTTGCCAGCGACGTCCCGGATGGAGAGGTTAGGATTCCGCTTATATTTCACCGCCACCTTCTTCGTCGTCGCTGCCACGTCCGGATTACGATTGCCGCCACTTCCAGGCTTTCTGGCGGTCGACAGACGCTCCCCGAGACGCTGTCACGGTCGATTTGGCCACATCCAGCAATTTTGCCAACTTGGCGTGTGAGAACGTCGGATTCTCTTGCTGCGCGAGCAAAATTTTGACACGCTGCTCCTCTTGCTTGGACGTCATTTTGAAAACTGGAGAGCAAACGGTGAAAACTCATCATAGCAACCATTGTATATACACTCAACTTTCAATTACCAGAAATACATCAATTTGAAGTTGAAAAATTTTGGCCCGTGCCAGAATTTATAAAGTGTGATTCACGCATACTTAAACTATGCGTAATAAGAGTGCTTTGAGGCAATTTAGTTTTTGTCATCTTGCCGTTGTTCATTCGATGTCAATTTCGCAAGGACTGACGTAACTACCAACATGTCCAATTAGATTCAGTGGTTGTCGAAAAATATGGAATCTCAATAAAGCCATTACCGACCGAGTTTTGCAAAATCATGAAGTTTGATGTGTCGCACGACGGGTTTTAATTATTGTTGAGGATTGGCAACTTCCTCGAGAACATGGCCAATGCGACCGTGATCCGTCAATAAGGCCATTTGGCCTAGTTTTGAAAAACCATGAAGTTTGATATATCATACGATGTGTTTTTGGTTCTTGTCATAATTTAACACTTCCCCGGGTGTACCGAAACATTTCCGGGGGAACCAAAACATGCCCGGTCGAGTTTTGCAAAATCATGAAGTTTGATGTGTCGCACGGCGAATTTTGATTCTTGTTGAGCAATAACTATTTCCTCGAAGTCACCAGAATATTTCCAGGATGGCCAATGTGACCATAATAATAAGGAATTCCACACAAATTTTGAAAAATCATAAAGTTTGATATGTCGCTCGAAGGGTTTTTTTATTTTGGTTGAAAATTTTTCACTTCCCCGGGGGCACAGGAACATTTTCGGGGGCACCGAAGCATGCCCAGGAGGCTAGTGTAACCGTGTATTGTCAATAAACCCATTACCGCAAAGTTTGATATGTCGCTCCTAGGATTTTGGTTCATGACGAGAATTGGCCACTTACCCGGGGGTACCGGAACATTTCCATAGGCACCAAAACATGCCCGGGAAGGCTAGTGTGATCGTGAACTGTGAATAAGGCCATTTCCAGCAGAGTTCTATAAACTTATGACGGTTGATATGTCGCATGACGAGTTTTCATTCTTGTTGAAAATTGACAACTTCCCCGAGGGCACCGGCACATTGCCGGAATGGAAAATGTGGCCGTGATCTCTCAATAAGGCCATTACCGGTCTAGTTTTGAAAAACTATAAACTTTGATATGTCACACAATGAATTTTGGTTAATGTCAAGAATTGACCACTTCCCCGGGGGAACCTGAACATCTCCGGGGACACCGGTACATTACCAGGGACACCAGAACATGCCAGGGAGCGCTAGAGTGACCGTGGTCCTTAAAAACGGCCATTAATAGCCACGTTTTGTACAAGTTTGATGTGTCGCACGCATATTTTAATTTATTGTTGACATTTGGCCACTTCCCCGAGGGCACCGGAACATTTGTGGAATGTATAGATTCTCTCAATAAGGCCATTACCGGTCGAGGTTTGAAAAACCTAATCCTAAACCATTGATCCCAATTTTTTCAAACAGATTTAAGAAACTATTCAGAAAAGAATTGAGAAATTATGTTTTCAGAGCTAATTGAGTTTTGAAATCTATGCAAATGTAGACGTTAGGCACGTAAAGGTTAATGGTAACTGGTTCTTAGGCATTACAGTTGAACCTGGCATTAAAATGGGTAATTATGGTGTTCTAGTGATCAGCGTTTTGTTGAAGTTTTAGAGAACCAACAAGCCAGTTCCTTGAGTCTAGTAAATTAAATATATTGACTGGTGATTTTAATATTGATTGGCGTGATAACTATAATTTGAATCATTTGAAGCGTTCAACCAAGGGGTAGGTCACTCTGCATACCAATCTTGAGTCATTTTTTGTCAGTGTGCCACAAGTGTACCGCCGATTGTGCTGGTAATAGAGCAAGCTGCGATTGTTTGAAAAATACCCATCCCGACAACCCGGTATTTCTGACAACTTGAATGTTTTGGTTGGAAATCGCAAAGGTAAATCGGATAAATTTTGGTGTTTTGTGTTGATTGAATGATAAAAGTCCAGTGTTTTAAGGAATTATTATGCCCTCAAAGGCAGACCAGAAACCTAGCCTTTCGAGATGTGAAAAGCATCGGTCTATCAGCGGCCGGAAAGAGTTCGAACTGGTGGGGAGCATTGTTGAAGACCGGCTATAGAGGATGATGAATAGAATTCTTT